CCATGCTGTGTGTGTTCCTTCTTCTATTCCTTCTTTTGTGGGACAGGGCTGCCCCCCCTGAAAAATGCCGCTCTAGGCAAAAGTCTTGTTTGCCTTGTGGTAAATACACGCCTGGGTGTACCACAATGCATAGCAATGCGTTGCCTTTCGTTGTGCACTGCAATGTGCGTACGTCAGAGATCCAGTGCCTTGGAGTGCTGTTTAAAATGAGTAGAGCTGCATATGTGCACTAGGAAAGAACAATACAATAATAAAATAGAGAGAGGTCAAAATGAAGACATAGATAGTATGATGAAAGACAGGTGTGATAAATGACAGACCATGATTAATGAGACATAAGCGAGGTGAATGACAGGTGTCATTAGTGCACTGAATGATGACTGACAGGTGTGATAAGTGTCACAGACAATGTATGAGACGTAGGTGAGATGTGTGATGAATGACAAGCATCATAAGTGAGAATACTGAGACACAGGTGAGAAGAATAACGGATGACATGTGTGATAAGTGGGACATAATGATGGGCGACAGGTGATTAAAAATGAGACACAGGTAGGATTATTGATGGATGAGCAGTGTCATGAGGGAGACGGGATGAATATTGAAACATAGGTGAGACAAATGATGGTTTAGTCACATGTGAGACGGGTAGAATAGGTAGCTTTGGAGAGACTGGCTTTGTTTAGAAAGGAACATAGGTAAGGAAGGGCTCGTTCACACTTGACTCGTTTCTAATGCAGGCCATAGATGAGCCGGTTATTGGCTGAATTGTCGGCCGATAAACGAAAAATCGGTCGGTGCCGTTGCCGATGCTGCCACCCATGTCCACGAAAGAATGGGAAAAGAAACCAGTTTGACAGAGACGGGAGCACACCATACAATGTGACAGCAATACAAATACATTGTGGTTTTATTTGGATACAAATGGATACATTTGTTGCAACCACAAGACTTTTTCATATAAAATATAATAGCGGACTGGACTTCCAGTTCGTAGGAAGGATTCAGGTGTCTCCCATTCTTCTTCTCCTTCTTCTTGTTCTTCCCTTGCAGGTCACGGCTCATGCGCAGATTTTTTATTGGAAAAATTATTTGCTCATCATTGCCGGGAAAATCGGCCGATCATCTAAATCGGCCGCAAATTTTCCAACATGACCGATTAAAAAAAAAAAAACTGTGCAAAAAACCCGAAAAAACAGCCGACCAATTAACCCACTAACAGTGCGAAAATCGGACGATTTTTTTTCAGCCAAAAAAATCGTCCAATTTTCGACTTGTCTATGGTCGGCATAACTCTTGCCAAACGCCCCTATAGCATTTGACAGGCGTTAGACAGGCGTTTTGGAAGTTGTTTTAAGGCTCCTCAAACATTCCCCAATGCGTGTTTTTGAGGCGTTTGATAGGCACTTGCCAAGCATTAAAACCGCACCACAAACACCTATAATGAAATTTAATGGTATTAACGCTCCAAAACCGTCTTTCAAAGGCCTGCCAGGCGTTGGAGGAGCATCACCATAGACTTGAATGGGAGGCTTCAACTCCTCCTGACTCGACATGAAGAATCAGTTTTGCCGCGACGCGACACTAGCGCTTCAGTGTGAACAGCACTGTGTGCTGCCATGTGTAGAATTTTCATAGGTGTTTGAGGAGTGTTAAAAACACTTCCCGAACACCTGACTAACACCTAACAAAGCTAGTGTGAACATAGCCTTAGACAGGTGATGGATGACAAATGACTTTAATGATGTCAGATGATGGGTGACAAGGTGCACATTTCCATTGGCTATGGGATGACCTAGGTGAGAGAAGAACTGTTAAATGGCTGACGTTTGTCACAGTGCAAATACTAGTTAGGTAATACATGGTGGTGCAGGCGATGATATGAGACAGTTGTTGGATCAGGATCTGGTCAGAGCAAATGGATCTGGTTTCTCTTAAACCTGAACCAAAAGCTCCAAAGTCCAAATTGTCCAGTGCTAGAGAAGGAATTAAAGCAAAACTATGAGTGGTCAGTGTAGGCATTGGTTCAGTTTCTACGGTAATTTTGTTAGGGGCCATTTATACCTTGGGATTAGTGTGCCAACATGCGTTGGATAAAGGCAGCCTATTCAAAAAGAATGGGCTGTCAACGGACCAAAACGTCCAAAAAACAGTCATGCACCATTTTTGTCAGCGCAGTGCACCATAAAGCACAGTAGTGCGTTGCCTTTCGTTGTGCACTGCAATGCTTGTATGTCAGAGATCCGGTGCCTTGGAGTGCTGTTTAAAATGAGTAGTGCATATGTGCACTAGGAAAGAACAATACAAAAAAAATCCCAAGCACTCTGTCCAGTTAGTCAGTGCAATACATCTAAGTAAACTGCTTTTAACATTTAAGGTGAAAATCGGAGGTTTTTATTTTATACATTTGCAAATTTAAAACCACACTGACTCAGCAAGGCACCTCTCCAAAGTGTGACTTATACATTGTACTGTTTAAGTGCCACTGCTGTAAAAGTGACTGCAGAGCTCAATCCCAGTCCTGTGAAGACTGAGATTGAGCTCTGCAGTCACTTTTGCAGAAGTTGTTTTCTTATTCCGGGTCACAGTCCTGCGCAATGTCCTTTGGTCAGTTGACTGCACTTACGCTTATCAGACGACGTTCTCCTGGAAACTGTATATGCCGCCATGATCTTTGATAGTGTACCTTGTGACATGACAAATAAATTAGCAACTTCAGTGACAGAGGCGCCAGCTAAGTCGCACCAACAATCTGTCCTCTTTAAAGCTCGGTAAGCTCTGACATGACTCCGTATTACTAGCAGCGCATGCAGTAAATGACGAAAGTGAGGCTTCCCACCTGCTAGCTAGGTGTCTCATCACACAGTGGAAGCAAAAGAATGTCACGTTACACCAAATCTGCAAATCATGTAGCGTTTCCATTTTTGTTTAACCCTTGTATGTGTGCGTGTGTATGTGTGTGTGTGTGTATATATATATATATATATATATATATATAAATACAAGGTCTGTCATTTTTATCATAGGCATATTTTAAATGATAGAGACAGAATATCAACCAAAAATCCAGAAAAAACACATGATACACATGTTATAAGTTGTGTTGGAGTTCAGTGATTAAAATAAGTATTTGATCCCCTACGGACCAACAATAATTCTGGCTTCCACAGACTGGCTATGTGATCGTGGTACACCTTAAGGATTTAGAGATCAGTAAAGAAGAGTGGACCAAAATCCCTCCTGAGATGTGTGCAAATCTGGTAACCAACTAAGGAAACTTCTTACCTCTGTGCTTGCCAACAAGGGTTTCTCCACCAAGTACGAAATCGTGTTTTACTTGGGGATCAAATACTTATTTCCCTCATGAACATGCAAATCGGTGCATAATTTGTTAGACATGCATTGCTTTTGAATTTTTTGTTGCTATTATTTTACTCACTGAACTGCAACTCAACTTATAATATTTGTATTGTATTTTTTTTCTGGATTTTTGGTTAATATTCTGTCTCTATCATCTGATGTGAATGTACAATATATGTATGTAAAGCGCTGTGTAAATTGACGGTGCTGTATAAGTACCTGAAATAAAAAAATATCATTTAACATACACCTATGATAAAAAATTATAGACCCTTCTTTTCTTTGTAAGTGGGCAAACTTACAAAATCTGCAGTGGATCAAATCATTATTTTCACTGTATATGTACGCTATATTGCCAAAAGTATTGGGCCAGCCCTCCAAATCATTGGATTCAGGTGTTCCAATCACCTCCATGGTCACAGGTGTATAAAATCAAGCACCTAGGTATGCAGACTACTTCTACAAACATTTTTAAAAGAATGGGTCGCTCTCAGGAGCTCAGTGACTCCAAGCGTGGTCCCGTGATAGGTTGCCACCTGTGCAATAAGTCCATCTGTGAAATTTCCTTGTTACTAAATATTCCCCAGTCAACTGTTAGTGGTATTATAACAAAGTGGAAGCAACTGGGAACAACAGCAACTCAGCCACCAAGTGGTAGGCCACGTAAAATGACAGAGCGGGTCAGCGCATGCTGAAGTGCGCAGAAGTCGCCAACTATCTGCAGAGTCCAAACTTTGTGTGGCCTTCAGATGAGCACAATAGTGAATAGAGAGCTTCATGGAATGGGTTTCCACGGCCAAGCTTCTGCATCAAAACTAGTGGGTGCACTGAAATGAAAATTCTCGTGCCGAAACGGAGACCGAAAATTCAGAATGCATGTGGCCAAAAACCGTTCCGAAACTGAAATGTCTGCGCATGTGGGGAGGCTCCATTTTTTTTTTTTTTCTACTTTCATGTCTATTTATTTTAACTTATGATTTTATTGATATCACATAGGGGACCAATAGTCCCCTATGTGATAGCATATAAGTGATAGGTCCTCTTTGTAGAGGGGGAGCAGTGTGTGAAAGAAAGGGGCAGAAGAGGAGCAGTGTATACAGTGAGGTAGCAGTGTATACAGAGAGGCTTCCTCACTGGCTGTCACTACATGTCAGTGCCAGTTTTTAATTTCAATTGCTGTTTTTTTTTTTCTTCACCATAGCTGTCACTTTCCTGGGAGCTAAAGGAAACTTTGTTTCTTTTCGCTCGGGAAAGAAACTAAAAAGAAATTTTCTTTCTTTTAACTTGGGAAAGTGACAGCTGATTCTCTGAGCTATAATGAAGGGAAAAAAAAAACCCAGCAATTGCATTTAAAATCCGGCACTGACCTATAGTGACAGGCAGTCACTGTATACACTGCTCCTCTCCTGCCTTTTGCCCATCTGTGGCCGTTTTCAGGTGAGAGAAGTTGATCTAACAAACTGGAATGTTGGAAATTTTTAATTCGATCAGTGCTTACAGACAATTGACTGCAGCGCTAATCTGTGTATTTTAAATGGCTGACAGGTACACTTTATTGGTACTTTTCATGTGTTATTGCCATCAATAACCAGTTTGAAATGATGTACATAAGTAAATGTTGTTTTTGTTTGTCTTTTCAGATGGACCAGTCCTCTCAGTCCTACATGCTTGCCAACATAACCCACTTGCACTCAGAACAGCTTCTGCAGGGCCTGAACCTCCTCCGCCAACACCACGAGCTCTGCGATATTGTCCTCCAGGTTGGCGATGTCAAGATACATGCCCATAAAGTGGTGCTCGCCAGCATCAGCCCATATTTTAAAGCCATGTTTACAGGAAACCTTTCAGAGAAAGAGAATACGCAGGTAGAATTCCAGTGTGTCGATGAGGCCGCCCTCCAGGCCATCATAGAATACGCCTACACAGGGACAGTTTTCATTTCCCAGGAAACAGTCGAGTCTCTTCTTCCAGCGGCCAACCTGCTACAGATCAAGCTAGTGCTAAAGGAATGCTGTGCGTTCCTGGAGAGCCAGCTCGACGTGGGCAATTGCATTGGCATTTCGCGCTTTGCCGAGACTTATGGCTGCCATGAACTTTACCTAGCTGCCAACAAGTTCATATGCCAGAACTTTGAGGATGTCTGTCAGACGGAAGAGTTTTTCGAGCTGACGAATTCTGAGTTGCATGAGATCGTTTCCAATGACTGTTTGAATGTTGTTAGTGAGGAGAGTGTGTTTTATGCGCTAGAGACCTGGATCAAGTATGACGTACAGGAGAGGCAGAAGTTCCTCTCCCAGTTGTTGCACTGTGTCCGACTGCCTTTGCTGAGTGTCAAATTTCTCACCAGGCTGTATGAAGCTAATCACCTTATACGCGATGACCATACCTGTAAACATTTACTCAACGAAGCTCTGAAATACCATTTTATGCCTGAACATAGACTCTCCCATCAGACGGTGCTAAAGACTCAGCCTCGCTGTGCTCCCAAAGTGCTTTGCGCAGTGGGAGGGAAAGCTGGACTGTTTACTTGTTTGGAGAGGTAGGTTGATGTAGAAATGTCATGGCCTCCATACATAGGCAGTTGACTAATTGAGTATTGTGCTCTCTTATTGTGCCCAGAGCAAACCTCTTTTCAGTTTTAAAGAGAACCTGTTGTTTTTCAATTTAGATCAAAATACGAGGATCTCTTTAGAGCCCACAATCCCTGCTGATATCCAGATTTAAAAGCCCCATGTAAGCTCTGTGTTGGAGTTTACTCAAGGCTACTTAACTTTTTCCCTCCCTTTCATGGCTGTGAACAGGCGTGATGAATGCCTAGTCAACCTCATCCACTGCATGTTTGGAGGAAAGGGAAAAGCTCACACACTCCGCCATACCTGGAAGTGTTTGCTATTTTCAAGTCTCCACCTGGCCAGTGGGAAGGTTGAGAAGTGCAAAGAATGGGAAAGTAACAGCCTCCTCTTGTACTTCGCTTCCATTGACTCCCTCACCTGCCCGTTGGTTACCTACCAAAGTATTTGTATTTCAGTCCATTCATTTACAGCCCTTCCACACAGCCAGACTAGAGAGCTGAATTTACTCTACTTCATTAAATGCTCCAGTTTGTGATTTAACATTGGGGAAGCAGCAGACTAATGAGCCAAATTCTATATTGCTGTGCTCTCTCTTGATATTCCTATGTTCTCTTGTCAGCACTGCAGCACACCTTATTGCCTCCCTGTGCTGCTTCTCCCTCTCCCAGTCTGGGCAGGGCTTTACAAGGGATTACCAGTGGCTGGTATCAATTTAAATGCGGGTCCCTGGTTGCTTATAAAAATATACTCAGGTGCAGATATTACTCTTCCCTCTCCATTATACACCAATGTTTGATTCTGTTGCACTTTAAAGTTCCGAAGATTTGTATGGTGGACATAGCTCCTGAGTTAGGCAAGGCCCCTATAAAATGGTGAACAACAGCCGCTAATCATAGTTTCAGAGTAAAATCAGAAGTCCAAAGTCACGGCCTCAATTTTAGATTGTGCATGGGATCATGGGACTCCCCTGGTACTCAGAAGATGACTTTGAGCTTAGATATGACTTTGAACTAGAACAGAAGGATAATCTTATAATAGGGACATTGCTTTCTAAGTGGGAATCTCCCTCCGTTTGGAGAGATTTCCTTTCATTTCTTGTTGTTTTTACAGGACAGGGTGTGAAGGAAAATCTCTCCAATTGCAAAAAAAAAGCCTGACAATTTTAACCATTCTTTACCCTAAACAAAATGTCAATAAAAGACATTTTGGCTTTGTATACACTTTTTAAATGTGTAATAGTATAAATGCCTTAGACTGGGAAAAGGTCTGGACTGAAAAACATCAGCATACCTTGCTGAACAGACTTCACTGCATTGCACGGTCCATCACAGAGTGATGACTCCAGCAGTGTGCTGCTGCTTTTTTTACTATTCCCAGCTGTTATTCTGGAATTTATCTTTCAAGAGGGTGTTTGCAGACATGTAAGTTGCAATGTTTAATCTGGTTTTCACTTTCTACCTTCCAGCATGGAGATGTATTTCCCCCAGGACGACTCTTGGATAGGCCTGGCGCCTCTGTCAACGCCTCGTTATGAGTTTGGACTATGCACCCTGGACCAGAAAGTGTATGTTGTTGGGGGCATTGCCACTACTGTGGGGGGCATTGTCAATCAAATGCGACAGGGCATCAATATGAGGAAGCACGAGAGCTCTGTGGAGTGCTGGGACCCGGTCACCAATACGTGGACGTCTGTGGAGAGGATGAACGAGTGTCGCAGCACCCTAGGCACTGTAGTTTTAGCAGGAGAACTTTATGCCTTAGGAGGATATAATGGACAGTCATGCTTGCAGTCAGTGGAAAAATATATCCCGAAAGCAAAGGAGTGGCAGCCGGTTGCTCCAATGATTAAGACGAGGAGCTGCTTTGCAGGCGCTGTCCTGGATGGCATGATCTACGCTATAGGTGGTTATGGCCCAGCTCATATGAACAGGTACAATGTGTTTATTGTTGAGTAGTCTTCTGTTTATCCCATGTAGCATTTACATCCTCATGATAGTAATTGGCAAGGGATTTAATTATCTATCTTTATCAGTACAAGTACATGGTTGTTAGGGGAACAATTCTCAGCGTGAATAGAGTCCTAGAAGACAAATACACAATTATCAGTAGGCACACTCTTGTGTCTAATGTGTGTGTGTATATATGTGTATATGTACATGTGTATGTGTGTGTGTGTGTGTGTGTGTGTGTGTGTATATATATATATATATATATATATATATATATATATATACATATATATATATATATATATATATACATATATATATATATATATATAATTTTGATTCAGAAAAGTCTTTGTCGGAAGTGTCTGGTAGTTGCCATCCCAGCACTCAATCCAGCTAGTCCGCATAGGATACCTTAAAAAAGAAAAATCTTAAACCACTTCTGACAGACCAAGGCACCTTTGCAAAATTTGGTCCCATTGCAATTATCAGAGCTCTCATCCTGGAAAGAATTTAAACCAGTAAATTGAGAGCAAGCTTACACTATAGATAACCCTGCCCTCCTGCCTGGATGCTGGGATTGGACTATTTGGGGAAAGTATATAGGATTGTGCTATTTATGTTAGAGAAAGCACTGGAAATATAACATAATTTTACCTATTCAAATATCTTACCAGTTGAAGAGGTTGTAAAGGCTGAAGGATTTTTATCTTAATGTAAAATAAAAACCTTCTGCATTCAGCAACAGCCCCCTTCTACTTACCAGATCTGGATCCAGTGGTGATCACGAGAGCAGAGGCTCTCTTCGCTGTCTCCCTTCTCATTGACTCAGACAACAGCAGGATCCATTGCAGCCAGTGAGGAGGGGGCAGGACTGAGCTGTGCTCTGTGTCTGATACACAGAGCTATCTCAGGAGCGAGCCTGCATGAGTGCCCCCATAGCAAGTGGCTTCCTTGTGGGGGACCTCAGAAGAGGAGGATTTGGGCTGCTTTGTACAAAACCTTTGTGCAGAGCAGGTAATTATAACATGTTTTGATATTTTTTAAAAAATGTGATCCTTTTACAATCAAACCATTTCCTCCCGGGTGGACGTTTTATAAGGTCCTTGGAGTGAAGTGGTTATACCGGGATGATGCCAGCACCATCATCCTGATATCATCAAATTTGCAGCTGGTGATCCCCCTTTTAAGCAGAAGTGATTCTTGTGTCTGACCAGCCCAGATTCTGTCACAAATTATGGAGCTTTATTGCACCTTTTCACGGTTTTATTATTAAGCCACTGACTCTGTTTTTTAATTTTTTTGACATAGTGTGGAACGTTACGATCCGGCTAAGGACTCTTGGGAAATGGTGGCGCCTATGGCTGATAAAAGGATTAATTTTGGAGTGAGCGTAATGCTGGGATTTATCTTTGTAGTTGGGGGACACAACGGGGTGTCTCACTTGTCCAGCATCGAGCGCTATGACCCTCACCAAAACCAGTGGACAGTGTGTAGACCCATGACGGAACCCAGAACAGGTGAGGGATAAAGAAAGTGAAGTATAGGATATCTATCAATTATTTATAGTCCAGCTCTGCATTGTTTTGAATGTTTCATTAGTTGTCTTTATAAATAATTTACTTGTTTGTGAGGTGGGACTATCCCACCTATGGGGATATATAATTGTTACATGAGCTAACGCAAGAGGGAGGAGGTAGAGCCAAGATACTAATGCTGCTTGTTTTCAGGTATTGAGCACCTTGCTTCAGTGAACCATAGCCAATTAGGATTCAGCCATCACTGCCCTAAATATATTGTAGAGAGGAGTGATCTGGGTTGGATTTCTATAATTCCTTCAGTACCGAGGGTTTTCATGACTGGAGCAATTATAGCCAGAAAGATTGATTGCTAATAAACCTTCTGCACTGAGGCCATGCGATACAGAATTCTGTTTTATCTCACAAATATGACATCTGAGTCTTAATCACTTCCATGGTCTCCACATAACTACAGATGATGTTGGCTTCATAATTTAAAGCAGGGGTGGGTTCTTAGCTGGCGTTATTTATACCCCTTGGGGATTTGGGAACCATATGATGGGGGTATGAGACTGGATCTTTAAATAATAATATAATTAAAACGCGCTGCTTTGTAATGTTGAGCTAAAAATAAAAGTAGAAAAATTAACTAAATGTATCAGATGAACTGCGAATAATATAGTAACTGTAGCTGCATTCCATGTTTTTGGGCTCGTTCACACCATTAGCATTGGCCAACGCAAGAACAATGCACTTTTCCTTAGGTCCAGTAGCTTCAGTTCACAACAATACACTGCATTAGTGTGCGTTGAAAGAAAACAGGACATGTAATTTTGTGCAGCACATTCTGGCGCACTTTAATGCTTCACAAAGTGCTGCATGCGTAGAATTACACAGAATTTAAAAAAAAAAAAAAAAAAAAAAAGCACTTCAAATGTGTTACAACCCACGGCAGTATGCATTTTACACCATCGCACAAACATTATGCGCACAGTAACACACACTGAGTGGTGTGAACAAGACTTTAAATGCACAGCAACTGCAAAATTTCACTTTTTTTAGCTAGCTTGTGTATTTATGATTTGCTGGTTTTATACAGATAACTATGATAAAAGTATGATATTCTTGTAGCTGTTCTGTTCCTAGCTATGAATGTGTGAATGCAAACCATAGACTAGTAGGACTGCTGCTGCTGCTTTTTAGATGATGGGCGTATAGGGACATGCTGGGCAATTCATTTGGGGGTCTGTAATCATTTATTTATTTCAGGTACTTATATAGCGCCGTCAATTTACGCAGTGCTTTACACACATATATATTGTACATTCACATCAGTCCCTAACCCTCAAGGGGTGTACAATCTATGGTCCCTAACTCACATTCATACACATACATACTAGAACCAATTTAGACAGGATCCAATTAACCTACCAGCATATCTGTGGAGCATGGGAGGAAACCGGAGTACCCGGAGGAAACCCACGCAGGCACAGGGAGAACATGCAAACTCCAGGCAGGTGATGCCGTGGTTGGGATTCGAACCAACGACACTAGTACTGCCAGGCGGAAGTGCTAACCACTAAGCCACTGTGCCGCCCATTAGAAAGTAAAAGCAGCCTGTCACTTGCTTTTGGTTGTTCGTTCTGTCTTACTTGCTCCCTCCACCATCCCTTATTCTGCTTTTTGGTGGAGAACAGCCAGGTTTTCTGCCTTTCTCACCTAAGCAAAAATTGAAGTCCCCTCCTGACCCAAACCTCCTCAAATACATCACACACCCCAGGAGGCTTTAAGGCTGTGTAAAATACACTGCGAATGTAGTGCATCGTCATCAGGAGGCTGGGTGCTGGGGCCTAGAAGTGACAACTAGCCTCCTGACAACATCACAAAGTGGAGTGGGACCTGCTGTACAGCAGACTACAGTTGGAAGGGCTGGATTCGCTGGGTGAGTGAGTAGCTCAACCCAGCGGACAAGATAAGGTCGGGTTAAAATCCAAATTAACCCTGTGGGGGTGGGGGTTGAAGTTCCTCTTTAAGAACCCCTGGTCTAAGAAATTAAGCATGTGAACAATTTTTTAGGGAGATTTACTGAAACTGGTGTACACCGAATCTTGTGCAGTTGTGCATAGTAACCAATCAGCTTCTAGATTCAGCTTGTTCAATTAAGCTTTGACAATAAAGCTTGGAAGCTGGTTACTATGCACAGATGCACCATGTTAGGTGCGCACCAGTTTTAGTATATCTCCCCCCTGTGTGTTTATGCTCAGATCTGTTCTTGCATTTATGTACAGTATGTAAAGCATTGTGTAAACTGGCAGTGCTACAGTTGGTATAGAAAAGAATTGCTCCCCTTGCACCCTGAAATGAAGACGGTTTTTTTGTTTTATCCAGCTGTGTTTTACTCAGTGCAACTTATAACATTCAAGTGGAAGATATAACACCAACATGTTTTGAAAAAAAAAAATCAAAAAATCAAAAACAGAATCACTGAGTTGGAAAAAGGATCACCCCCTGGTGTCAGTATTTTGTTGAACCACCTTTTGCTTTAATTAAAGCCGCCTTTAGTCTGTTGGGATATGTCTCTACTAACTTTGCACATCTAGACTTTGTAATATTTGCCCGCTCTTCTTCTTTGCAGAGATGCTCAAGTTCAGTTAAATTTGATGCAGACCGATTGTGGACTGCAATCTTCAAGTCATTTAACAGATTTTCAATGGGGTTTAAGTCTGGGCTCTGACTAGGCCATGCAAGGACATTCACCTCTTTCTTCTTCAACCCCTGTGTGGTTGTTTTTGCTGTGTGCTCTGGGTCATGTTGGAAGGTCAACTTTCTTCCCATTGACAACTTTCTGGCAGAGGACAGGAGATTTTCCTCAAGAATTTGACGGTATTTTGCCCCATCCATTTTTCCTTCTATCATGACAAGTACCCCAGTCCCTGCTGCAGAGAAACCCCCCATAACAGGATAGTCCCACCTCCATGCTTTACTGTAGGAATGGTGGTATTTGGATGGTGAGCTGGATTGGATTTCTGCCAGATATATTGTTTAGTGTTACAATCATTCAATGTTAGTCCCATCTGACCAGAACACCTTTTTCCTTGTGGCCTCAGACTCTTCAAGGGCCGTTCTGGCAAAGTTCAGTGGTGACTGCATGTGGCCTACCCCCTTGAGGAGCGGCTTTTTTTATTGCAACCCTCCCATACAAGCCGCATTTGTGGAGAATTTGTGATATTGGTGTCACGTGCACACAATGACCACTATTTGTCATAGATTCCTACACCTGCTTCAGAGTTGCTGTAGGCCTCTTGGTATCCTCTCTGATCAGTTTCTTCCTGGCTCTTTCCTCCAGTTTGGAGCGATGTCCTGATCCAAGGAGGGTCTATGTTGTACGAAATACCTTCCAGTTATTAATAATAGACGTCACTGTGCTTCTAGGCACTGATAAAACCTTTGAAATTGTCTTTTTGTATCCATCTGCTGACTTGTGCCTGTCCACAACTTTATCCCGGAGATCTTTTGACAGTGCCTTGCCACTCATAGTTGTTTGCTTCAATTGCAATATCAGGGACTGAAATGCTCTAGGAAAGCTCTTTTTATGCAGAACTAATCAATATGACCACAGCTGATAACAGGTGAAAGTCAAATGGCTTTTGTTGCATTGAGAAAGTCATTAGCTACACCTGACAGTGATCCCTTTTTTCCAACTTTTTGTTTGTTTTCTCTGACATGTTGGTGTTATATTTTTCACTTGGTTGTTATAAGTTGCACTGAGTAAATACAGCTGGATAAAACAAAAGCTGTGTCTGTCTTCATTTCAGCCGGCAAATAGGATATTTTATATTAGCTGTACTTAAAAATACTTTTTTTTATGGATACATTAATAGGAGAGAGGAATGGGGTTATGCCTTTCCTCTGATCCATTCATCTTTATGTACAGTCTGATCTCTTTATGTACAGTCTGACCTCTTTATGTACAGTCTGACCTCTCTAGCTTTCCAGCTAAGTTTTACAACAGTAGCAATTTTTTTTTTTGAGCATGGATTAAGTAGCTGTTCTTGGAGCATGCCACCTGCAGGCTGCAAGTGGTAAATATAAAATATTTATATTCACTTTGCCATATTTATTTACTTGATCAATTAGGCACAAAAATGTTCCTTTCTAGTACAGAACAATAGAAAAGGAACCCTATACATTTTGTTTACCAGCTGTTCATAATCTGTTTTTTTCCTTTTCTGGACAGGTGTCGGTGCAGCAGTGATTGACAACTACCTCTATGTGGTCGGTGGTCACTCAGGTGCGACCTATCTAAACACAGTGCAGAAATACGACCCTATCTCAGACACTTGGTTGGATTCAGCCGGCATGGCGTACTCTCGGTGTAACTTTGGTCTGACGGCCCTTTGATGAACATTAGCACATTGTGTAATATTATATTCCTGCATGAATGGATTTCCAAGGCCTCATCTCCTTGATACCGAACCGTGAAGACATGGAGAATTCAGTACAGCTCTTCTGTCAGGTGAAAGCCTCCAACAGCTTCAAACACGGTCACTCTTCTGTAGCCGGTTATTCCTAACTAGCTTGACTGACTATTCCAAGTGGTAGTATGCTGGAAAAGATCTAAGATAATAGTTATTACAGGCGTAGTATGTGACGGTGTTTGGCCAAAGCTTGGGACGGATATCACTGGGTGCTACACATCCACACCGTGGGGGCACACTGCCCTTGGAGTTAAAACTAGGACAGAGCAGGGCCCTTAAAAGAAGACACTTTCTGTCCATGGTTTAAATCGGCATGCTGCCTCTAGTGCCCAGCAGTGAGAGACTGTACTCAACTTAGTGACTTCTGCCAAGCACTGGAGAAAGCATGGAGATTTAAAGGGAAATTCTGGCTAACAACAAGTTGTTTTCAAGCAATACAAAAAAAGTGCCAGAACTGCCGCTGTAATAATATATAATGTTAGCTAAACTGTGCTATAATAAGATAGAGGACATGTTACTCACCAGGGATCTGTTTGTATTGTTGTCTGCAGCTTTGGATCTTTCATGAGCTGTATCGTTCATATGCCTCATGTCTCTTCTGTCTTTTATCATGCGATATCTAACTCCAGTCCTTGAAGGATGTATACAGGCCAGTGTGTTGGGATAGACAGTCAGTTTGAACTATGCCTTAGTGATTCACTGCTGTTAATGGGCAAATGCTTAAAAATGTGCAAGCATCCCAGAGCATTTGGACTGGAGTTGGACACCCCTGTTCTGAAGCTAGAGTCCTTGCCATTGATACATTACTGTACTTCTAGATATCTCAGACCAGTAGCTGAGGGGGAGATGTAAACACAGGGAAATGTAGATATCTCAACAGCCTTTATCTGTGACATGTCATGTTCAAGTTGCCAGACCTCTACTTGCAGAGGAAACAAGCAACAAGAGGGAAAGGGACTTTTTATGAGTGGTAACATGAAATCTTAATTCCTGCATGAATTGTTGCCTTTATTTTTTACTTAAGACATTCAAGATATAACCAGATTGTCTTTAGGTAAGGTAGAAAAAAAAAATAAAAAAAAAATAAAAATTAACCTTAAACCATGGATCAGAAATGTCCACTTCTGTGGCCATTTTATGGATGAACATGGTAAGTATAGTAACATGCATGTGGGTTCCAGGGGAACAGAAGGCAGATACAGGTGAGAGAAGTAGCTGTGGCCTTGTTGGTTACCACAGTCACCACTGGTGTGGCAATTGTGGTCACCAACTGACTATTGAAGCCCTAATATATTATATGGGAACAGTCACTGCATACTGCCAATCCTGAGATGTAAGTTTACATAAAGAGCTATAGTCACAACCGTCTGTCTCTGATGTTCTCTTTTTGTCTTTTACACATTTATAAAAAAAAAACAGTGCTGGGATAATCGTTGTTTACAACCAATCAGATTCTATGTATTTATCTTACAGAGGGTAAAAACAAACAAAACAATATCTGGTTCTCATATCGTCCATTGTGGTACCCAGTGCCTCAGGCTTGATGCCTTGCCTACATGAAGATTGACACACAGCCTGGGTTCACATTGAGTTTCTGTGCGAATTCCACACCGCATCACAATCGCACCCCGTTCATGTGAACTGCTGCGGGTGTGTATGTTAACACCCTGAAATTGGTTTGCAATGGATGTGAATACTCATGCGATCCGATTCTAGTGCGGACCAAAAAAAGGGTCCTGCACCTTTTTGATGCGGTGCGATTTGAGCCATACAAAATGTATGGCTCACATGGTACTGCACAGAATTTCGCATGTGATTTGCACGGAAATGCAGTGTGGTTCCTGTGCGAATCACATGCGATATTCCGCTCCACATCAGTGTGAACCCAGGCTAAGGCTGCATTCACACCTCTGCATTTTAGTGTGGTGCATTAAAGAGGTAGACAAGTTAAGAACTGCAAAAACCACTAACATTACAAGTCTCTTCTATCATAAATGTCCCCCCTGCCTGTCAGTATTAATGTTATCGGAGTTGCACACATGCAGCTCCCACCACGCTACGGCATGCTGCAGTGCCATGACCCCAACGCACGTGTGTGGGAGTGATGTTACCCTAGTCATTCAAGAGGCTGCAGATAAGAGACCTGGAAGGAAGACTGAGTGGAGATGGAAGAGCCAGGGGCCAGGCAGAACCACCTTCTCTCATAATTGTACTGACAATCAAATCAAAATCTGATGGCAGCAGTGTGAACCTAGCCTAATACAGGAGGTGTGCTACTGGGCAGATCACCAGGTGAAAACAAGGAAAAAAAACTAAAAATAAAAAGAATGAAAAACTGATGCAGCCACCCCATCTAATGATTAGTAAGCTGCAATATATTACATTTTTGGGTTTATTATAGCTTTAACATGCAACATAGGAAAAAAAAGTTTAATCTGTACAATAATTTTCTCTTCACAAAATGTATTGAAAAAAATGCTCATATGCTCCCAGCATCCTTCTGAATTACAGACAACTGGATTATCAAACAGCGAGACTGAAAGATGGTAACAGTGGACTTGTATGGGACTTCATCTATAGTTAGGTCCATATATATTTGGACACAGGCACAATTTTAGATTTTTTCAGGCATTTACCAAAACATATTCAAGCTATAATTATATAATGGATCTGGGCTGAAAGTGTATTATTATTATTATTATTATAATACAGTATTTATAAAGCGCCAATAGTTCGCTCAGCGCTGTACATTACAGAGGGGGACAGAACATGTGACAGAACAATACCAATACAATACAAAACATGAGGGGATTGAGGGCCCTGCTCTTTTGAGCTTACAATCTAGGAGAAAGTGTACACTTTCAAATTTACTTTGAGGGTATTTACATCCAAATTGGAGGAAGGGTTTAGGAATTACGGCTCTTAAGAGCAGCCATCGCCCCTTTTTCAAGGGACCAAAAGTAATTGGACAATTGAATCAAAAGCTGTTTTATGGCCAGGTGTGGGCTACTACTTCGTTATTTCTTCATCAATTAAGCAGGTAAAAGGTCTGGAGTTGATTCTAAGTGTGGTATTTGCAGTTGGAAGCTATTGCTGTGACCCTACATAATGCGTTCAAAAGAGCTGTCCATGCAAGTGAAATAGGCCATTGTAAGGCTTCAAAAATTAAACAAATCCATCAGAGAGATAGCAACAACATTAGGTGTGGCCAAATCAACAGTTTGGTACATTCTGAGAAAAAAAAAACTCACTGGCGAGCTCAGAAACATAAAAAGGCATGGATGTTTACAGAAGACAACAGTGGTGGATGATCGCAGGATCCTCTCTATGCTAAAGAAAAACCCATTCACAACATCCAGACAAGTGAAGGACACTCTCTAGGAGGTGGGTGTATCATTTTCAAAGTCTACAATCAAGAGAAGACTTCACGAGAGCAAATAGAGAGGGTTCACGACAAGGTGCAAACCATTTTTTCACAGAAAGTGGTATGTAGTCCACATGTAGTGGTGAAGAAACCATTTCAAGTAGTGCGCTGCTTTATGCATCTATCCTTCCATCCTGGTAAAAAATGGGGCATATTTTTATTCAAGAGCCCTAGGAAACAGCTGGTAATAATCACAGATGAATGGGCCCCAACCACTTGTGCCGGCATAGGAATGTACTGCATCATTTACATGACATTTACGTTTTGTTTCATATAGGCCTAGAGGCATGCCTTCTTTTTGACGCATACTGTGCTTGCTATATTGCATACATGTGACATTTATATCTATGGTATAATTTTTTGAAACTTCCTGTTTGGGATATGACCATTCTGGTAGTAGCATAGTCTACACATTCATCAATACGTGTTATGGTATACCTATGGTATAATTTTTTGTATACACCTCCTTGGGAAGTGTTCACCTTTGCGCCAGTGCCACAGGGACCTTAGACTCTTGTAGTCATTGTCCCTTTTGCACAGATATTTAGACCGGTACTGGTGTCATTTTATATGGTTTTAGGTCTGTGTGTATTATCTCATACTGAGGTGATGGTAAACCAGGGCGATTGCCCATGTGTCAAATTTGTATGTGTAATAAAGCATAATTTTTGGAAATTTTTCTGAGTATCACATTCTGTTCATAATGTAGCCGCTTTCTTTGTGAATTTCTTTTCACAACCCCTCTCTTTTTTTGTATGCCTTTTTTGGCTACTGAATGGAGACCATTTACTGGGTGATACGGTAATTTATTGTATGACCTCTTAATAACTATCTTTTGCAAACCATTCATAAGCCTGAAGAATAGAAAAGCCAGATTAGACTTTGCCAAAAAAACATCTAAAAAAGCCAGACCAGTTCTGGATAAACTTTCTTTGGATGGATGAAACTAAGATTAATCTGTACCAGAATGACGGGAAGAAAAAAGTGTGGAGAAGGCTTGGAACAGCTCATGATCCAAAGCACACAACATCATCTGTAAAACATGGTGGAGGCAGTGTGATGGCATGGGCATGCATGGCTTTCACTGGCATTGGGTCATTGGTGTTTATTGATGATGTGACAAAAGCAGCCGGATGAATTCTGCAGTGTTTAGAGATGTACTGTCAGCCCACTGTACTGTGCAGATGGACAATGATCCAAAAAACACTGCAAAAGCAACCCAGGAGCTTTTGAAGGAAAAGAAGTGGAATATTCTGCAATGGCTAAGTCAGTCGCTTGAACTCAACCCAATTGAGCATGCATTTCACTTGCTGAAGGCAACACTAAAGGCAAAAGGCCCACAAACAAAGAAAAAATGAAGACTGCTGCAGTTAGAGCCTGGCAAAGCATCAGAAAGGAGGAAACCCAGTCTTTGGTAATGTCCATGGGTTCCAGACTTCAGGCAGTCATTGCCAGTAAAGGATTCTCACCAAAATATTAAAAATGAACATTTTATTGAT